CAGAGGACAACGAGCAAAGAAAGAAGGAGGGAGAAGATTAAATATGACGGTAAGCTCACCAGTAATGCAAAAAAAAATTGCAACAGTTTCTTTAGATATATAAAGGGCAAAAGAAAGGTAAAAATGGACATTAGGCTGCTGGAAAATGATGTTGGAGAAGTAGTAATGGGGAACAAAGAAATGGCTGAGGAACTGAATGAGTACTCTGTGTCAGTCTTCATAGTGGAAGACACAAGTAACATCCCAAACATTTAAGAGAGTTAGTTGGGGCAGAGCTGAGTACGGTGGCCATTGCGAAGGAAAAGGTGCTAGAAATCTGAAAAGGCTGAAGGTGGATAAATCACCTGGACCAGATGGACTACACCCCAGAGTTCTGAAGGAAATTTCTGAAGAGATAGTGGAGGTGTTAGTGGTGATCTTTCAGGAATCACTGGAGTGAGGGAGGGTCCCAGAGGACTGGAAAATCGCTAACGTGACACCCCTGTTTAAGAAGAGAATAAGGCAAAAAAACACAAAATTACAGGCTGATTAGCCTAATCTCAGTCGTTGGTAAGACTTTGGAGCCCATTGTAAAGGATGAGATTTCTGAATATTTGGAAGTGCATGGTAAAATAGGGCAAAGTCAGCATGATTTCATCAAGGGGAGGTCATGCCTGACAAATCTGCTGGAATTCTTTGAGGAAGTAAAGAGCAGGTTAGACCAAGGAGAGCCAGTGGATGTTATCTACCTGGACTTCAAGAAAGCCTGAGATAAGGTGCCACACAGGAGGCTGCTGAGTAAGATAAGGGCCCATGATGTTAGGTCCCATGGTGCTAGCAAGGATAGAAGATTGGCTGTCTGGTAGAAAGCAGAGAGTGGGGATAAAAGGGTCTTTCTCAGGATGGCAGCCAGTGACGTGGTGTTCCACAAGGGTCAGTGTTGGGACCACAACTTTTCATTTTATACATTAATGGTCTAGATGATGGAACTGTGGGCATTCTGGCTAAGTTTGTAGATGATACAAAGACAGGGAGGGACAGGTAGAATTGAGGAGGTGGCGAGGCTGCAGAAGGATTTGGACAGTTTAGGAGAGTCGGCAAAGAAGTGGCAGATTGAGTACAACGTGGGAAAGTGTGAGGTCATGCACTTTGGTAAGAAGAATAAAAGCATGGACTATTTTCTAAATGGGGAAAAAATTCAGAAGTCTGAAGTGCAAAGAGACTTGGGAGTTCTAATCCAGGATTCTCTCAAGGTAAACTTGCAGGTTGAGTCAGTAGTCAGGAAGGCAAATGCAATGTTGGCATTTATTTTGAGAGGACTGGAATATAAAAGCAGGGATGTACTACTGAGGCTTTATAAGGCTGTGGTCAGGCCACATTTGGAGGATTGTGTGCAGTTTTGGACCCCACATCTCAGGAAGGATGTACTGGCCCTGGAGCGGGTTCAGAAGAGGTTCATGAGAATGCTCCCAGGAATGAAAAGCTTAACATTTGAGGAACGTTTGAGGACTCTGGGATTATACTCATTGGAGTTTAGAAGGATGAGGGGGGATCTAATTGAAACTTACAGAATACTGAATGGCCTGGGCAGAGTGGATGTTGGGAAGATGTTTCCATTAGTAGGAGAATCTAGGACCCGAGGGTACAGCCTTAGAGTAAATAGAAGACCTTTTAGAACGGAGATAAGGAGAAAGTTCTTCAGCCAGAGAGTGGTGAATCTATGGAACTCACTGCCACAGAAGGCTGTGGAGTCTGGGTCATTGAGTACATTTAAGACGGAGATAGATCGGTTCTTGATGATCAAGGGGATCAAGGGTCACGGGGAGAAAGTGGGAAAGTGGGGTTGAGAAAAACATCAGACGATTGAATGGTGGAGCAGACTTGACGGGCCGAATGGCCTAATTTCTGCTCCTATGTCTTATGGAATTTCCCTGGCAGGAGGATGATTTTGACAATGGCGCCTCCTGGCTTGTGGGGTGGGGGGACAGCAGTGAGGGCACGGCGGTGACTGAGAGACATCAGGAAGGTCAGATGCTAACAATACTTTTCCCATTTTGTTTCCCCCCTCTTTACCTTTCTCTCCAACAACTGGCAACAGGAACACAGCTGAAGGTAAGAGAATTTTGTCTCGATCTCCTCTTGGCCTTATTCGAATGTCGCCAACAGGAGATTGTAGGCCATTCAGCCCATCAAGTCTGTTCGCCCATTCAGTGAGATCACGGCTGATCTGATCCTCCTCAACTCCGCTTTGCTGCCTTTTCCTCGATTCTTTTACTGATTAAAATATCTATCTCGGCCTTGCATATACTCAGCAATCCAGCCTCAACAGCTCTCTCCAGCGAGGACAACGCAGTCTCTCAAAGACAATGATTACCATTGCAAATGAGAGATTGCGAGCTGGAGCTTATGTGTTGTTCCAAAAATATAATGATCCAAGATAGCTCTTTCTACATTCCACTACTCAGTTACCCAGAACATTTCAAAATTCCTGTTCAAAAAGCGGGAAGCCTCAGTTTAAATATTTAAACATCTGTGATAATTGTCCCACATGATGAACATGAGCATATTCTAAAAGTTAATGTAATCACTGTAGTGCAGCCTACAATGCCCAGAGAACATTTCTCTGTCTGTGCCCAGACAGATTAGGGGGAGGGGACAAATCTTCCAAAAGTATTTGATGGTGCCTATGACCTCTTCCCCCTTTAGCCTGAAGTACTAAACGAAAAGAAAAATACTTTGTTAGCTTGCAAACCATATCTGTTCTTGGCACCAAGGTGCCTAACCTGACTTGATTTTTCGGAACAGACAAAAATCAATCTCTCGCTCAGTCCATCATCACACTGATCCTCACTCGAGGAAGGGAAATATCATTGTTGATGCCATCACACAGAATCACTTAATCCTACACTGTGACATTCTTCCTCTGAAATTGGAGATATCATTGCTCTTCCTATAAGAGGAATCAGACAGAACGTGGCATCATACGGACACAGAGCCCACAATTCCTGCTTTCCAGAAACACCTCTCGGTGTCTCGCTTGTTCCTTTTACAGTGTGACTCCCAGGAGTGAAAACCAGCCCCCTTCCCCCTTCCCCCCCACCCCGGCCTCATCCAGAACTCCACGGTCAGTGTCCCTGAAGGTTTGGACCCATGACGCTGTGGGTTGGCACTGACCGCCAAGGGCAAGGAGACGATGCCGAAATGCTGGGCCTCCCTCAGAGATTTTTCCCGTCACTGGGTGCAGAGATGTTATGGCACACCGCTCTGGAGCAGGTGGGACTTGAACCCAGGCCTCCTGTCTCAAAGGTAGGGACACTGCCACAACAGCCCTCACTGGATGCACCTTAAGAACGGAAGGAATATTAACAGCAGGAGGTAGCTATTAGTGCAATGAATTCATCATTTCCAAAATCAACCTCCTACTTTTTTATTCATCCCCATCCCTTGCCCAGGAAATCTTGTTTGAACCCATAACATCACAGCCGACATTAACCTTGCCTTCCTCAGTTCTTGACCCAAAACATTAACTCTGACTTCTCCCCACAGCTGCTGCTGAGCTTTTCCACTAGTTTGTGTTTTTGTTTCTGATTTCTAGCATCTGCAATTCTTTTGGTTTTTACTAATCTTGCTTTGCCTGGCGTCTCTAATCCCCGGGCTGAAAATAATGCTCCTGACCTCCTAATTGAACCTAGCCACCCCATCATGGCCTGCAGGCACAACCCACACTGCACCCCCCTCCTTTCAACATTTCAACCTTTTGCTTTCCATCCCTTATTCGTTTCTGTTAACATTATTTGCGACTTTCTGGCTTATTGGACGCACTCTTATACTAACATTCGCCATTATGAATTGCGACATAAATATGTCAACATATCCTATGTCAACAGTCACACCGTAGTTGCAGAGTCTGGCCGCTGGTGGCTCTTTAGAGTGACTATACACACCATCCTTTGGGGCTGTGAAGTAAAATTTATGCCCTTTGTGTCCTCAGCTGGTCTAGGCCAGGTAGGTGAAGGGGTTTCTGAGGAAGGGTCACCGGACCCAAAAGGTTAACTCTGTTTTTTACTTCACAGATGCTGCCAGACCTGCTGAGCTTTTCCAGCAACTTCTGTTTTTGTTCCTGATTTACAGCATCTGCAGTTCTTTCAGTTTTTATTAGGTGAAGGGGTTTAAACAGTAACCAGCAAAGTTGTTCTGAATCACTGTTCATTGGATCCCACTTAGTCTGCTACTCTAAATATTGACAAATCCAAGCCAAACTCAGTTAAAATGGCAAAACTTCAGTTGCGATTGTAAAGGAGTAGATTTAGAATGCAGTTCTGTTTTCCAAATTGCTAAAATGCACTGGAGATGATACAAGAAAAACATTGAGCCAGAACACACTAGAACTGGGGTGTGTTTCCACTTATCAGGGATGTTTACTATTGAGAAACACAAGATCCATTAATAGTTTGTTTCAGGTATTTAAAAATGTGGGAAAAACTGAGGGAGCAGGCACAGAAATATTTTTACTTTTGAAGGAGATAACAAGAGTAGAGGCTGTAACTTTAAAAACAAATATGAATTAACCCAATTGGGAATGCAGGAGAAACAGCTTCACCCTGAGATTAGGGTTTGAACTACTAGAGAGGGTTTAGGAAAAATCTACAAGGACCTTACAGGGACTCTGGAGGGTTTGAGCTATGGGGACAGGCTGAATAGGCCAGGACGTTTCTCCCCTGGAATGTAGGAGACTGAGGGTTAATTTTATAGAGGTTTATAAAATCATGAGGGACATGAATAGGGTGAATAGCCGAGGTCTTCTCCTCAGGATAGGGGGAGTCCAAAACTAGAGGGGCATAGGTTTAAGGTGAGAGGGGAAAGGTTTAAAAGGAAGGCTAAGGGGCAACTTTTTCACGCAGAGGGTGGTGCGTGTATGAAATGAGCTGCCAGAGGAAGTGGTGGAGGCTGGTACAATTACAACATTTAAAAGGCATCTGGATGGGGACATGAATAGAAAGGGTTTAGAGGGAAATGGGCCAAAAGCTGGTAAATGGGACTAGATTAATTTAGGATATCTGGTCGGCGTGGATGAGTTTGACCGAAGGGTCTGTTTCCATGCTGTACATCTCTATGACTCTATGTCATTGAGGGAGTAGTTGAGGTGACTAATTTAGGTACCAAACACCCCCTGGGGAAAGGAGTAAAAGATATGGGGATAAAACAGCAACATGGCAGTGATCTCGAGGAAGGGCCATGACCATATTGAATGGTGGAGCAGATTTGAAGGGCTGAATGGTCTACTCTGTGTCATGTTGATTGGCTGAGATGGTGGGAGAGGTGTGAATTGTAAAGACCAGCATGGATCAGATGGGCCAAATGGCCTGTTTCTGTGCTGGAAATTCCTTGTAGGCGTCAACAGCCCACACTGTCTGCTCTTATTTCCAGTATACGGGCAGTGATGACGATCTACTCTCCAACATGGAGACACTGAGTTTACTGGGCAGTGCCACTACACTGGCATCCAGCGTGGTGGAGCTGGAGGTCGGCGCGGAAGCCAAGTCTGGAGAGTCGGGTTCACCAGAAACGCCTCATCGCCCATCCAGAGATGAGGCCTCCCTAGAGCGAATAGTCCAGAGTGCTACGGAGAAGCAGGAGGATGCTGAACAGTACGAAGAAGGCCCGGAATTTTGCGGCATCGGCAACATCGATTTGGAGATGGAACAGGTCGGCGATGTTATAGTTTTTACAGATTGCAGGCTTTTTCTTTTGAGTTTGTGTTTAGAATCGGGGTTGAGCATTTTGAGGGAATTGTCGAGTTAGATGGCAGACAGATATGGGGTAAGTTCCAAGTATTTATTGGACAGCTGCATACACTACAAACAAGAGAACTCACACCCTCACAGAGACCAGACACATCCTGCTGTTCATAGGAAACTCCTTGTGCCAGTCTCAAAGATGGTGCTACGTGCGGAGTGGGCTCTGGGGAAGGATGTTCTGTTTGTTCCAGGATTCAGGGGAGCAGAGGCTGATGGGGAGAACCAGAAAGGACAATCAAGGGAACGTTGGTCATAGTAAAAGCTGTATTCAGAAACATTTGGAGCTCATCAAGTGGTTTCAAGGGATTCTCCATTCGAGCTGTTGGCAAAATAGGAAATGTTATGAGATTGTTTGAAACCTTTCAAATTAAAACTGCATTTCCTTCCTCCTATCGAGGCACAGATATTTGCGAACATGGAGCTGTTGCAGAAGAAAACGTCGGAAGGTCTGGGCGCCATTGTAGAGGAGCCCTCGTTTCAACTCCGAACGGTAAACGGGGATGACTCTCTGCTGGATGTTTATGAAGATGCAGATGTCGAAGTGTCCGAGATTTCGCTGCTAGACATGGCCTACGTCAATGGAACAGAGGGATGTGAAACCTACAACAGTGAGTCCTCCGAAGACAATGACCTTCAGAGACAAAGAAGGAATGTGAACAATTTGGAATCACTGGGCGAGATGGACCAAGTTGGCCGGGACTCTCAAGATGTTGGCTCATTTGCCAATGGAAGGTTGACCTGTGAGGGTCAGAGGTCACTACTGGACCATGAAGACCACCACAGTTCCCACCATGACAGTGAGGAGACCCTACCAGGGAGGGAGGACGGTTTTAAAGTTAATGGCTGTCCCGTAGCGATGAGGTCAGAAAGTCCTGTCCAGGAGGAGTTTGGGGAGGAAGCCCCCAGTAATGGCCACGCCGATCGGTTGGCCAAACCAAACGCAGCCAAGAAGGACTCAGTCCAGATGGAAAATGACCGGCTGCTAATTGAGAAGATCAAGAACTATTACGAGTCGGCAGAGATGGCCAACGACCAATCCCACCTCCAACGAAGAGAGAGCATCTCCTTCATACCGACTGGCGTGGTGAGGGACTCTGTCCTGTGGTTCAATTACAAGACGGCGCACGAGAGCATTCAAGAGGCGCCAAGCGAGAAGGTTCCTGGCAGCGATCGCCCGTCGGTCAGTGCACCAGGCGCGGGTTCAGAGCCCCGCTCCCAATCGAGGGATGGTCAGCTCCAGCTGGGCTCTGTCCGAGTGCTCCCGGAGCCCCCTGATGGCACTGACCCGCCGCTGAGCCAACGGCCCACAGAGGCCGAACCGGAGCCGGAGTTCAAATCCTCAGCCGAAATTCTCAAGGTTTGGCGAGAAATGGAGAAAGCAGCTCATTTCTGCCACAAACATGAGTCTTGGAATGGCTGTGGTAAAGCACTGGATAAGAACAAGGGCCCACCCAGCTCCCGGCAGCCGGGCTACAGCGAGCCTCTGCTAATCCTGGAGGACTCTGACCTCAGCCCCTCCACGGAATTCCCCGGAGCGTCAGCCGACGAGGTGAAGCAGGACCCAACGGACAGGAAGCCTGGGCTGAAAGTCGGCCTGGGAGGCAAGACCGGTCCAAGCGACAATGTGACCTACGGACCTTGGTGTGTCGGCCAAGGCACGCCGCTCTGTGGAGATATCGATGGCTGCCTCTTCCAGAACTCCGAGAAAATCATGAACAAGGTCCAGTTGCTGGCCAAAATGTACAGCCAGCGAATCAGCAGGAAGAAAGCAGCCATGCCGAGGAGGATCTGGGAACTCGAGCCCGAGGCGAGAGCAGAGTACAAGCAGTGGAAAAGGAGACCGGCACTGAAACTGACCAGGGCCCGCGAGGTCTATCAAGAGATGGAAAGTGACGGTGAGTCGCTGAGTGTGAGCAAGGCACTGTCTCTGTAACAGCAATGGCAAGGGGTGGCAGGCATACAGTCATCCGGCATGGAAGCAGACCCTTCGGTCCATCCAGTCCATGCCGACCATCATCCCAAACTCAACTAGCCCCACCTGCCTGCACTTAACCCACAACGCTCCAAACATGTACTTATCCAAAAATCTTTTAAATGTTGTAACTGTACCTATGTCCACCACTTCCTCTGAGTGTTCAGTCCAAAAAAAGTTGTCCCTCATGTCCTTTTTAAATCTTTCTCCTCTCACCTTAAACATATGCCCTCTGGTCTTGAAATCCCCCACCCTAGGGGAAAGACACCTGCCATTCACCTTATCTATGTCCCTCATGATTTTATAAACCTCTATAATCTACGTTCCAGTAGAAAAGGTCCCAGCCTCTCTTTATAACTCAAGCCTTCCATTCCCAGCAACATCCTGGTAAATCTCTTCTGAACCCTCTCCAGCTTAATAATATCCTTCCTGTAACAATGAGACCAGAAGCGGACACCGTACTCCAGAAGAGGCTTCACCAATATCATCCCAACTCTCTGGAACACGTGGTTGCTCTGTGGTTGGCAGTAGAGTGGGATTTGTGAAGCCATCATATTCTCAGCCTTTCCCTGCCTATTGATTCTGGGGTGGAGAAGTGGTCATTGATGACCAACACTGCATCATTAAACCAAACCCAACTCAATTCTGTAACATCCTTCAGTCAAGGGAGCAAACTCTCTCTCACCAAACTCCACGTAACTCCAGTCCTTCAATTAACAGCTCCTCCCGTCGGAGATGGGAGGTTTGGAGGGTGGTAGGGTGGGGCCACAAATCCCAGGTAGGATACTGGGTAGCCAAGGTGCCCCCACTGGTGTCTTATCACCCACAGGGTGGGTCTTGGGAGACCCTCCTGTCCATGGGCCAGTTAAAGCAACCAATTAATGGCATTCCCCACCCACCCCCGCACCCCCCACCCTCTCAGCAGTTAACTGTCGATCTTTGTTCTCAGGCCAGACTCTGAAAACGACGACTGACAGTTGACTGTTCTTGCCGCATCGCCATGCCAACGGTGACCCTACCAACCAGCACCCTCTTCTCGGAGGTGTCCCTTCCTTCAAGCCTCTCGCTTGTTCTCTAACCGTGTAGAATGCAGATGGAAAAACACTTCGACTTTCTTTTGTCTCTCTCCTTTTACCAATGTCTACGTCCATTTCCCTGCCCATTTTATAACCGCCTTTTTCATTCCTGGTTGTGCGTTCACCTTTTTAACTGAACTGAAACTCCCAAACCACCCTCTGTGACAGCTGAGCTCTCAGTTTGTTGGATTCATTGCAGTGTGATAGTCTCGGAGAGAAAGACCCCACCCCAACCAACCCCACCCCAACCAACCCCACCCCAACCAACTCCACCCCTCTCCCCAAAACAATAATTCACTTCGAAAGAGGTTTCTCCTGGAATTATTTGGACACCGAGAGGATACAGAGGATCAGAAGGTCCTGAACCATCCTCCAATTTTCGCCAAGCCAGCTCCCCCCACCACCCCCACAACAGAAGGGAGCTCTCGGTTTGATTTTGTTGAGGATTCAATTCTGGGCACTGGTGTGGGAATCTGATTGACTCCCCCTCCGAGTCGAATTGGGACAGATTTAAATTCCCTCAGCGGAAGGATATTCCCAAAGCCTTTACAACTGATGAAGCAGTTTTGAAAGTTTCCCCCAGAAACAAAGGAATTGGGACCAAAATTAGGCCGTTCAGCCCTCAAGCCTGCACTGCCATTCGGTAAGATCACAGTGGATCCGATGACCACATGCTCCTGCCTGGCCCGCTTCCTCCAATAACCTTTCACCCTTCCTTCACCCCAAAGACACCTAAAGACCCTGCTGCCTTCACCTTTTCAGAACGAGAGATTGAAAGACCCACCATTTTCAGTGAGAAAATCAATTTCTGTTTGTCGATGTTATTAATACAAAATCCCTTTCTGTTTCAATGGTCTCAGGAATGGTTATTATGCAGGGAAAATGGCTGTTCAGTGCACAGCAAGATCCCACAGCCAGTGAGGGCGGACGACCAAGTAATTGGGAATGCATGTGTTGGCTCAGATGAGGCAGATAGACCTGGGAGCGGAGGGTGGGGGGTGCTAGTGAACAGACTCAAGTGACCCTCCGACAGTGTGGCGCTCCCTCAGCACTGACCCTCCGACAGTGCGGCGCTCCCTCAGCGCTGACCCTCCGACAGTGTGGCGCTCCCTCAGCGCTGACCCTCCGACAGTGCGGCGCTCCCTCAGCGCTGACCCTCCGACAGTGCGGCGCTCCTTCAGCACTGACCCTCCGACAGTGCGGCGCTCCCTCAGCGCTGACCCTCCGACAGTGCGGCGCTCCCTCAGCACTGACCCTCCGACAGTGTGGCGCTCCCTCCACTGACCCTCCGACAGTGTGGTGCTCCCTCAGTCCTCAGAATGTCACTCCACATTATGATTCGAACTTGAGCCTTTGTGAACCGAAACACTGCCCCTGATTGTAGACAGAGTAGGAACTGCCGATGCTGGAGTTTAAGATAACAAGGTGTAGAGCTGGATGAACACAGCAGGCCAGGCAGCATCAGGGTCCAGACCCGAAACGTCAGCTTTCCTGCTCCTCTGATGCTGCCTGGCCCGCTGTGATCCTCCAGCTCTACACCTTGTTATCCCTGATTGTGGAGATTGCAATTGCCCATCGCAGCACATCTCTGGATTATTTGCCTGAGGTTTGCAGAGCAAAGAAAGTCATGTCCCATTTGTCTGTGCTCAGCACCAACCACTTCCCTACAATGTTCCAATTCATTCTGCTACAATCAAATCAGCTCATTCCTCAGGCTGTTTCAGTATTTACAGGGAGCTAAGTGTTGAAGTTTGTTATTTGCAAGATAAAAAAACTGCTTCAAATGTAATAATTACCAGAGAAACTATTTTGCTTTGGATTTGCTTTCAACTGAAAGGCATAATTGATCAGATTCTCTTTTGAATCTACCCTGGAGCATCTGCGCTGCGTAGTTAGGCACTCAACTGAGATTAAGCTTCGAGGAATTTCTGCATCTTCGCCATTTGGGAAAAAATTCATGGAATTAATTTGCAGCACGAAGTCCTCAGGGAGCCTGTCTCCAGTCTCCCGTGGTCCTCACAGAGATTTGGGGTAATTTGAGGAGACAAGTACGAAGGGTTCTGCTCCTGTGAAAACTTCTCCCCCCCAGGGGGTTAATGTCACCTTGCAGTCGATGTTATTCTGTTTCTCAGCTTTTTACAGAATGTGTGGCCATGATTGAAGAGACTGGCGGAGCCCAAACCGTTCCTCAACCTGTCCCAAAATTTCATTAAATTCTGTTCTCAGGTATATTAAAGACTAGACAGATTTTTAATCAGTAAAGGAATCAAGGGTTATGGGGAAAGGCGGGAAAGTGAGGTTGAGGATGTTCACAATCCCGACAGTGTGGAAGCAGGCCATTCGGCCCATTGAGTCCAGACCAACCCTCCAAAGGTCATCCCACCCAAGCCCACCCCTTTCCCATCCCATAACCCTGCATTCCCTATGGCTAACCCACCTAACCTGCACATCCCTGGGCACTACGGGACAATTTAGCATGGCCAATCCACCCTAACCTGCACATCCCTGGGCACTACGGGACAATTTAGTATGGCCAATCCACCCTAACCTGCACATCCCTGGGCACTACGGGGCAATTTAGCACGGCCAATCCACCCTAACCTGCACATCCCTGGGACACTACGGGGCAATTTAGCACGGCCAATCCACCCTAACCTGCACATCCCTGGGACACTA